TCTATGCAACCTTGTCGGGTGGACAAAAGTTCTCCAAACTTGGTCTGAGCCACACGCATTTTCAAGTGGAGCTTCACGAATCTACTAAGGAAGTTACGACTATCAATACACACTTGGGGTCGTTTCACTATAACGGATTACCGTTCATAATACACTGCGTCGGCGATTTTTCAGAGGATTACAGACAATTTGCTGTAAGGTATACCAAGAGCGTGTGCTTACTTGGACGATATCTTGGTTACTGACAGTATGGATTACGAGCATCTGACGGCACTCACTGCTGTTTTGGAGCGCCTCCAAGAGAGCGGACTTAAGGTCAAATAACCAAATGTGTATTTTTTTCTCCGATAGCATTGAGTACCTGGAGTTTCGTTTGGACAGACAGGGGTTGCATCCATTACGGGAGAACATTCAACCCATTCTCGACTCACCGACATCGCGTAACATTCCCGAAGTGCAATCATTTCTCGGGATGGTGACTCATTACAGTCGTCTTCACACAACTTCGCAACTACCCTCGCACCTTTGTACGCATTGCTGTGGTCCCCAGAACAACAGAATACTTATGCGGCTATCAACCTGGCTAAAAGTAAGGCCAATTTGCCGGTACACTTTGACCCAAAGAGGCTGATTACTCCTCGGTGTCTCGCATCACCCACAGGGCTCGGAATCTTACTATCTCACAAAATGGATGACATGGCCGAACGACCCATAGCTTTTGAATCCAGGAGCTTGGCACTAGCGGAGAGGAATTACGCCCAGCTAGACAAGGAAAACTTAGCAGTTATATCTGGGATTAAGAAATTTCACCAATACCTTTGGGGGAAGAAAGTTTGAAATTTTTACACACCACAAACCGTTATTACCCTTAATCGGTGAGGAAAAGGGCATCAACTAAATGGCGTCCCCTCGTATGCGACGTGAGGCATTACTGCTTTCGGCCTACAACTACTAAATCGCATATGTACCTGGGAATGCGAATGGAGTCGCCAACGCTCCGGGCCGCTTACCGTTAAGTCAGTTACCCGATTGCGTGCTGAAACCCGCTGAACTGGTAAATTTGCTTCCGGCTGGCGCCTGTCTGGCGATGACGCAGCTTCAAATGCAGGTCAAGCTGACGTTGGCATTGTTTTGAGTCTCCGGACAGAGGCTGCCCTTATTGATTGGATCCCAGTAAACAGTCCGACGTGCGCCATTAGATTAGCTGGTTCGTTCCATGCTACGAAGTCGCGCGGGAACAAACGGTGCCTGTTTGACATTGCGGCCTACGCCCCTACAAACTGTAGCAACGATTCGGTGAATAATGATTTCTATCAGAAACTTTACGATCTCCTTCGTTACAGAAGAAGCACGGATACTGTGGTGTTGGCTGGCGATCTAAACACCCAAGTCGGAAAATTGTCCTCTGATGAGCTTCATCTGGGCGGCCAACTTGGTGTAGGCTCCCGTAATGATAACGGTGAACGTCTGCCACATATGTGTGAAGCTGCTTATCTGTTTCTCATAATCACTAATTTTCGACACAGCACCCGCAGAAGCGTGACTTGGCGCCACCAATCTTGGACTAGCCACGGACACAAATCGAGCACATCACCATCAGCTACCGCTGGAGAGGCTGTGTCCAAAACTGTCGCTCGATTTGGAGCATGAGCGTGGACCCCGATCACGCTCTTGTGTGTGCCGACCTTCAAGTGCGTTCGCTGGACGTTCGTAACGGCGCTTTGTGCGTATAGACGCCAGGCAACTGACGAAGCCAAGTGTTCTGAATGCATATCAAACTACGCTGGCATCAGAGCTGAGTAGGCGCAATGAATACAGTTGTAGATCACTGGTTCCATACTCGTCAAACGCTACTATCAGCAGGCATGTCTTCATGTAGCAAATCAAATTGCTAGCCTGGACATTGGGTCTTTATACAGTATCTGGAACTTCTGGATGCTCGCCGACGTATTTCGGCTGGAAGCGAATACTATGAGACTCGCAAAAATCTCAGGACGAAACTGCGCGCTAGCCTGAAGAGGGACCGCGAAGCCTGATGGCCTCATCGTGCAACGGAAAGGGAAACAGGCGCTGCCGTTGGTAACCATCGGGTTGTTCCGTTTGACACGAGAAACGGGAAGCAGGAAACCTGGTGTGAGCGAGACAATAAGCGATGAGGATGGACAGCCGATCGACAGCTTGTCAAAGCGTTTGGAGCGTAAGTCGAAACATTATCAGAAGCAGTATAATCAGACCTAATTGCCAACTTCCCCATCGGCCAATGAGCGCCCTACTCCCTGGGCCGTCCCTTGAGCCCGTCCTCATGCGCAAAAGTCGAAGGTGGGATCAGACGGCTGAAATTGAAAAAGGTCACTGGAGCTGATGGACTTTATCCAGTCCTCTTCCAATTTGGTGGATCTGCTATTTTGTGCGATTTACATGACCTACTAGTGATTTTATGGGAGCAGAAGACTCTCCCAACAGACTAGAGCCGCTCCGTCCTTGTGACAATTTTGAAGGGAAAATTCCGTTCGGAATGCGGCAGTTATAGAGGAATCAGTTTGATCTCCATTAAATCTGTTGGTTATCTTTATCGTCCTCCTGACATCCATGAAAGCCAGATGCGCAAGAAGTAGGCCGGGTTTCGTCGAGATCGATGCTACATTGACCACATTTTCACATTACGTAATTTGTTGGAGTACCGCCATGTTTATTGGCGACCCACTGAATCGTGTTCCTAGACATCAAAGAGGATTTCGATTCGGTTGATCGATATACCCTTTGGGAATGTCTAATGAGGGAAGGTGTGTTCGCTAAATATCACAGGAGCGCTGTAAGCGCGTAGTTCTGGCAGAGTGATGGTTTATACAAACTTTCACCGATCTTCAATGGCTTCAGCCATGAGACACGGTTGTCCGTTGTCACCTTTCCTCTTTAACTTTGTCATTGACGAAGTCATGGAAACGGTGTTCGCCGGGCACAAATTAAGTGGTGATTCTCCTAGGTGATCAACTTCTTGACTTGGAGTATGCTGATGACTTTGCACTCATCCGTGACAGTTTCCAGATGGGCCAGGCTGCACTGGATAAATCAGCTCTGGTTGTCAGTCGTTTCGGGTTAAGCTTTCCACCCTCGAAATGCAACGTCCTCCAAGATTGGCAGGGACCCACTCCTGCGTTGACCCTTGGTGGTGACCAGTTAGAAGTCATCCAGAAATTTAAATATCTAGGCAGCTCTAGTGGCGCCCGTGTGATCGTAGATGAGATCACGAAGCGTATAGCAAACGTTCGATTGGCTTTTGTCAATCGCCGCCACCTGTGGCACCGGGGTGACATTACTCTCGCTCTGAAGGGAGTTCCCAATTCAGCCATCCGTTCAACCATCATGTACAATTGCAAAGCCTGGCCCATCAAGTCGACAGATTTAAAGAGGCTCGTTACATTTGTCCATGGCTGCCTCCGCAGCTTAGCTCATGTCTGGGGATGAGACCGCGTGAACAATGGGCGTGTTCGGCACCGCGTATTTGGAGCAGGAAGAGTGAGTGAACCGCTCAGCGCAATTATATCATGCACCAGGCCCCGATGGATAGGCCACGTGTTGCGCATGCCAACACACCGGCTCCCGCACCATGCGCTGTTTGCGCGCTCGGGATCTGGATGGAAGAAGAAAAGGATAGACCAAGGGATGACTTAGTCAAGAGGAACGAAGTCCCTCACTTCCGACTTGGCGTTGGTTGGTGTTTCACGACTGCCGAGCTAGGAACCGAAGGATGATAAATACTTCTGGTTGGATACACTAGCTGACATGGCGAAAAGCCGACCGCAGTGGCGCTTGTGTTTTGAGTTGCTTTGTCGCTAATCCCCCCTTTAGCTTCCCTTTAACAATGATCGCAAATCCTATGTGACATTTAGCATTAGGTCACTTTGTTATAGCTTTTTAGTCTGTACTGTTTAATCTTTTTGAATTGCGGCAGATAAGCTGAGACCATCGGCTAACATGCACTGAGGATGATGATGAAATGTAAAGCCCCATCAGCATCTTCATGCCCTCAGTATGCAGTGATTGCGCATCTTGTCCATACACTGAGGCTCCGAAAGCACCCTCAGAATAACGATTATTTCACCGGTCTCAGAGATGCAAAGGGTCTGAAAAAACAACGCCCCTAATGATGCCGTAGTAATCTTAGCAACCCTGCGACAGTCATGGGTGAGACGGATCGACTGCTTCAAATGGTTGTTCGGGAAGTGTGAGAGCCATTGGCGTGTATGTTCGGTCCTGCAACCGTACTTTGCACTATAGGGCCAAGAAGCACATGTTAAAGCATGCGGTGCTCTGAGTTCGCGTATTCAGTGGGGCTTGCACGGTGGCTGAGTGAGACACAAACAGAGCCCCACTGTCAGCGTACCTTCGATTCGAGGTTCGATCAAAGAGAAGAAGGTTCACTCTAATATGCGTGCAGCTTGTTACTCCACTTCGTCAGAGTGAGGAATCAAGCAAGAGTGGTGGCCATGTGCAATTTAGAAGCCGAAGTACAGCATTTTAGCATCCATCAGCATGTCACTGAACACAGGAGCAAGTATGCGACTAAATGATGATTACCGCGGTGAAGATGACCATACTGATTCCTCTAGTTCAAAGAAAAAGGCAAAGGATAGAATGCTAGTAAGCCATATCGACCACCGTTTAAACAAAAAGCCAATTCAACCCAAGGCAGCACAAGAACGATGGGCGATTTGGGTCCGACAATAAAATCAAAATAAATTACGAATTGCAGTAGAAAACATTGTACACCCTAGATAAAATGAGTAAAATGTAAACAGCTGAAAAAATCGCCCATTTGCGGACATTCGTGCAAAGCTAGATCATGATTACACAAAACGATGGTAGATTTTGCGAAAATTTGCCAATATCCATCCAAACGACCAAGTTATAATTACACCTAGATGAGTAGCTAGTGGTGACGTAGGCACAAAGACAAATAAAGCAAAACATAAACGTGCGCTTTACATATGGAGCCTTACCTGAAGTGTTTTTCCTAAACCCATATCGTCAGCCAAAACTCCACCAGGACCTGTATTGTGTAGACGCCAAAGCCAACGGACACCATCCCGCTGGTATGGATAGAGTTTATCGTACAAGCTGCGAGGAAGATGGAACCCGGTGGCTACGGCCACAACGTCTGTTTTCTTCGGAATAACCGGTTCGATATTCTCGCTACGCAGATGCTTTTTGATTCTGTCGATTTTTCTTTCTATTTTATCGGAAGGTGCAATTTCCTGGACTTTTTGCAATAACCGAAGACACTCAGTAAAGTCCCCATCCTCATAGCACGCACGTGCATCAAGTATCATTTCGTCTACATTCAACTAAATGTAAAGTATGAGATATAAGCCAGAAAAATGAACGCTACATCAGAGGAAGCGCTATTTTGTTCACTAGAGCACGAAGGTAATTGAATGTCGTTGCTGATAGCCTCTTCCAAATTCTTTATTTTCGCCGCAATTTTCGCGGAAGGCACGCATTCGTGTGATTCCTTCAGAAAGCGAAGGGCATCTTTCAAGTTTCCACAATCCAGCGCATGGCGGGCTTTGATGGCCAGATGTTTTGCAACTTCCTTAAAGGGCAGTGAAGCAAAATAATGGATTACTTTAACTGGGCTTGAAGGAGGAGATTGAGAGGAGGGGCAATGATTTTCATCAGATGAAAGGGTAAATGCTCTGATTCGCCCGATTTTTCGTAAAATACTTGGAGAAGCCTTAATATTGTAGGCCTTCTGACAGCAATGAAGCGACTCGTGATACTGTCCTCTCTCAAACAAAATGCGGGCTTCCGATAACAGGCAATGTACTTCGGATTCAGTACTCATGAGTGTGACATAGAGATAGCCAGAAGAACCTGGTGAAAGAAGCATTCGGTAGCACAACAAGTAAACTGAAAATTCGCAATAGAAATGACTCATTCTAATCATCCACGAGATACACCATAGATAACAAAGGAAGATGATAGCAGCCTCTAATACATGTCAACTCTCTGATGGGATGAGTCACATCGATTAACTAGAAAAGTAGTGGATGGTCGATCCAAGGTACTTCGGTCGACAGAAGATGGACGCAGAGTATTCAGGGTGCGCATGAAATGCCATACCATTTGTTTTGTTCATTACACATGTAATACTATAGATGTAATGTTGAAAACTCGTATTCGTATACTTTGGTTTATGAAAAAGCCGGTAGATGTCACAAGTTGGTATGGAATATTTTCTTGGCACCAAACACAATTTTCAAGGTGGCACAGATTGAGAGCTGAACAGAAGGTGAAACTTGTAATGTTTTTCTTTTACAAAAACGAGGAGTTTTGTAGTGACACAAAGACGTTTTCGTGCACACTTTCGTACAAAGTTAGCTCCATGTAAACAGACTATTCAGATATTGTATCATCAATTTGAAACAACTGGTTCTGCGGTGGAGAAGAATCGACGGCGCAGACCAAGTGCTTGAATTCCTGAAAACATGGAAGCAGTTCGCGTTGCTTTGACACGAAGTCCTAGCAAATCAACAAGGAGGACGGCTGCTGAGTTAGGAATATCTCGTCGGTCCATACAAAGGATTCTACATTCTGATCTTCAAATGTTCCCTTATAAGATAACATTTGTCCATAAATTAACAGCAGAGGACAAGCAACGGAGACATCAGTTCGCTTCATGATTAGTGCAAGAGGATCACATTCTGTGCAACACGTGGTTTACTGACGAGGAGTATTTTCATTTAAATGGTGTAGTGAATAAGCAAAATGTTCGTTTCTGGGCAAGTGAACATCCTCGCATTCTGCACGTAAGGGAAAAGTATGGAGAGTAGGTCAGTGTATGAGCAGTAATTTCATCCCATGGAATCACCGAACCCTTTTTTCTTTGATGAGACGGTAAACAAAGACCGATATAAGGACATGTTGGAAAAACAGCTTTATTCCAGAACTCTTGGCAACAGGTCTCCCATTACAAACTCAGTGGTTCATGCAAGACGGAGTCCGCCCACACACTGCAAATATTGTTCTTGACATGACATGTTTTATGGGCGGGTAGTGTTTCCTGAGCGGCACCAAGTTAGGAGACATTGGCCCCCACGTAGCCCAGACATCAAACCATGTGATTTCTTCTTGTGGGGCTAGTTGAAACATAACATCTCCGCAAGGAAGCCTGCAAGTGCAGCTAAACTCAGGGTTCTCATCATGCAGCTGTGTCGTCTAATTCCGGAATACATTTGCAGGAAGGTTATGACAAATATAATGGTTCGCTTGCAAGAGGTTGTGAAACAAAATGATGAGAACGATGAATACACTACACGGAACTAAATTTCATGTTCATACAATTAATGCTGCACTAATTTGTAATATTTTTCTGATAAATATATGCGTAACGAAAACAAATGGTCTGATATTTCGTGCGCCACCCTGTAGGTAGTTGAGAGTGCCTCGTGCTTAACTTTTGACTGTGAATGAAGATGCTTCGAGCATGACAAAAGATTTCAAAAGTTCGTGCGAACTGAAATGAACAGTCGCCAAAAGAAGTGCAAATGGTGGAGTATCTCTAAAAATTAACTGGTGTTTTGCAGGATGAGTCAATGCACGCACAGTTCCTTTCAGGCAGACTGAGTAAACGCTTTGAAGCAAAGTGGGGTATTGGTCGGAAAAAACTCATAAATGTATATACATAGGAACATTCGAAATAATCCATAGAATACATGTGGAGCCATTAGAATTATGAAAATGAAGGGATATAGAAAAATAGTGATTCAGTAAGAGGCAAATAAAGTTTTCGTATTCCATATGCGTTATTTTTCTAGTGTTCCCAAGTGAAACCAAAAGCCTGCGGCTTTGACTATACAGGACGTACCCGTAGAAAATAGACAACAGCTGAGCGAGAGCGAAACAATGGCAGGTATCTGAATTATGGAAGATAACAAGGTCGGGTATAGGTAAACACTTATGGTCTGAGCACTGAAGTTTCATAAAAATAAAAATTAGTATCAACAGGATTAAACGTTAATGAAAAAGAGCTTCAAAAGCAAATTAGACTCATGGGATGAGGTAAGTAGCAAGAACCTATACGCGTAGATGAGACCAAATTCATGACTGTGCTATGTTGAATAAAATGTCTAAATAATAACGTAGCCACTGCCGATGAACTCGTTAAGAAAGACAATATGCACCTGTCACACGGAGTCTTTTGATCGAGTATTCAGGCGCTATCGTTATCAGAAGGTCGTTTTGTTTCATAAAATCAGATCCAAACACGGTGAAAAATACGATGCATGTGGTTGACAGAAATTCCAAGAAAGTAATCTTTACATTGTAGACGGTTGAAGTGCAAATATTGGTGAAAGATTGGTAGGTCAGTTGCCAAAAATAAAGTAGTGGCTGGTTTGTCGAGAAACCTCTTTTTGCCAGCTAGTTGGTTCGGGATTATCCAGTTAAAGCGAATGACTCGGTGACAGTCGGTTTTCGCATGGCAAGCAATTGCCCTATAAAAAGCTATGTATGTCCGATGAATAACATCTTGAGGTGGCTCGTCATTAAATAGTCATAACCTCTTGCTGCACCGTGGTAAAATGTTGTATCTCAGCAACCTGCTGCTGACTTCATGGGGAGAGTTAAGCCCTTGTTTGGCAGCCGACCAAATGTAAGGCGTATGAGCAGAACAGTCGGTCAGAGGATCCCAATGGGAGCGATTCCCTGATTTCGCTCCCCTGCCTTGTCAGTGGGCTATTCAGCCAAAGGTTCGGAGTGGTGTTTTTGAATACAAGTCTCTATTCCGGATCGAGAAAACGGGTGGTACCCCATCCTCTGGTAAAACTGTGGAATGCTGCTCTGTGTTTCCATGGATTTTAATAACGTCACGTCTGTTCTTAGATAGTTGATATATATATATATATATGTGTGTGTGTGTGTGTGTGTGTGTGTGTGTGTGTGTGTGTGTGTGTGTGTGTGTGTGTGTGTGTGTGAATTATCGCTTACCCGTCGGACAAGAGACCATCGGACCGGCTCGGGGTCACCTACCGAAACGGATAGAAGACGGCATTTACAGCACACACCAACGACAAGTAAGCAGTTCCACAGTTCTTTTACTTCTATTTTATGTCGCGTTGTGACGTTATCAATGTTATTAGCCTCATACTGCTCATCTTGTCAAGACATTCTCCATTGTGGCGTCTGTTCTGCATGTACCACAACGTGGACCAACACGCTCCACTGACACTTCATTTCATGCATCCCTACTGGTATTCGCACATTTGCACGCATTTTATATCATTTTGTATTATCTTTCTTTGTAGCCCTTGAGACCAGTTCCTGAATTTCTTGGTAAGACACGCAATTCTCGTAGTGCTACTGAGTATGCGCAGTCCAATGCAAAATAACAGCACCCTCGGCCGACATAGTTCGTCGAGCAATATTGGTTTAGGTGCCACTTTACCTCGCACACACTGTAGGGTGCCTGAGCGATATTTACTCATCACTGATAACTTGCTTCTTCTCGGAATCCACAGCACTCCACTTTTGGCCGTCCCTGTCCCTATCGCGCCCCAGGCAATTATTTCACCCCAACCCCCGAACGAGGCTGGCTTGCCGAACTACCTCTTCGTGGTGCCAACTGTTGGATCGGGATTATCCCTTTCCAGCGAAAGGTTCGGCAGCAGTGTCCCAGGATGTGGTGGGTTTTCGTCTGGCGAGTGTTCTCTGTATAGAAAGCCACATATGTCCGTTTAACAACACTGCGACGTGGCGGACGTGACTCGCCACTAAATAAAGTCACTGCCCCTTGCTTCACCGCGCTGGAGCATTGTAAGCATTCAGCTTGACGCTGAATTACTGGGAGTATTGGGCCCCTGCTGACAGCCAACCAAACGAAAGGCATATGCACCGAGCAATCGGTCACCGGCTCCCAGTGGGTGCGATTCCCTGAATTCGCCCCGCTACCTTGCGGGTCAGGTCCCTATGACCAAAGGCTCCGGGTGGGACCCCTAAGCCAACCTTTACCTCGACCTGGACAACCGAGAACTCGTATGCCCACACAACATGAAATGACGGATTTACAACTCACTGCTCAAGTCTCTCGCTCTCTGAACTCTCTCTTTGGCCGGGGTGCTGGCAGCCGGGCATGCTAAACCTCACTCTACCGCACCGCAGACCACGTTCTTCGTTCCACGTTTATTCAAGCCTCCCGTTCTTGGCAACCCGTCTTCAATTTCGAATCTCTAAAAGTTCATTGCAAATAAGAAACGGTACCTCTAGCCTCCTTAAAGAACCGTTTAAAACCGATCGCACACATTCCAATATCAAGAGCAAGGCTTTTATTGCACCCCGCTAGCTCTTCAAGCTAGCTACGTTTAATGTCCGAACGCCCATGCAGATGGGTACACAAGCGGCTCTTGCGCGAACCTTGGAAATCCTCTCAATCGAGGTTTGCTGCCTAACCGAAACCCGTTTACAAGACTCCAACACAAAACTGCGATTGCTCTCACCGTCACTAAGTTCCAAGTACACATTCACCTTGCGCTTACCTGGAGATGCAACAGCGGCAGCCACTGGTGGCACCGGCCTAGGAGTTGCGTTAAGCGCACGTGCTGAGGCAGCGCTCATTGACGGGTTCCCAGTCAACAGTCGTCTTTGTGCAGTCCGCTTGGAAAGCTCAGTGCGATCTTCCAGCCACGGGAACAGTAGGCGCTGCACATTCATTGTGGCGCTGTACGTTCCAACTGACTGCAGCGCAGACGAAGTTAAAGACAAGTTCTACCGCCAAGTAGCTGGCCGCCTCCGCAAGAAACGCCGCACGGACATCGTGATATTCGCCGGTGACCTAAATGCGCAGGTCGGTAGACTATAGGTTCATGAGCGCGAAGTTGG